CCCCCCACCCCTCTCTCACACCTGCACTCCCGTAGCTCCAGCTCCCATAGACATCTCCCTGGTCTTAGTCATTACTCAGCATGTGTGTTCAAGAGACTGCATGGCAAGTTCAAACAGTATCATGTAATAACCTGACTCTCATTGCCCACACCCAAGACCCTGCCTTCAGTTCTGCTATGAAGGCCTCCCTCCCAACTTTTTTCCTTCAACCTCACCTATTGAGAACCGCATCAGATCTCAGTTATCCAGAGCCCACCTCTACTGCTGCTGCACTTGATGTCCCTTCTCCACTCACAGCCTATGGTCCTCCACCCCATGCTCAGTGAGACTCACAGATGTCCCCTCTTGTCCATAATTAAATCGACCAAATTGGATGCAACAAACCAGGCCACACAAGGGGTCACAAGAAATCCGGGTGTTTAAGAAGTAAATACGCACTAGCCACAGTCTAACCTTTTTTGAATTACTCTTTTACGTCCAATAAAAATAGGTGACCTTCAACTCCTCCCTGGCGCAGATGGTTATTTTTTTCCCCAATAGTTTTATTCATTTCAAACGGGCCGGATCCAGCCCGCTGGCCGTAGTTTGCCCACGGCTGTGTTAAACAATACTTAATTGTTGTTTTGGTTTGCATCTTTCAGATGATTATTATTTTGAGTATTTCCTAATGTGCCAATAAGCAGTTTGGGCTTCCTGCCCTATCAATGGTCTGTTCCTGTCCCTTGTGTCTTTTTCTACTAGGGTTGTGGTCTTGTGATGTTTATTTGTAGGAATTCCTTGTAGTTGTTGAATTTCAATCAGTCATTCATTTTAGATGTTGCAAATATCTTCTTTCTGTCCATTAATTATTAACTTCAGCCTGGCCAGTGTGACTCATGGTTGAACATCAATCCATGAACCAAGATGTCACTGGTTCGATTCCTGGTTAAGGCACATGCCTGGGTTGCAGGCTCGATTCGCATTAGGGGTGTGCAGGAGGCAGCCAATCAATGTTTATGTCTCATCAATGTTTCTGTCTCTCTACCCCTCTTCCTTCCTCTCTCTCGCTAAAATAAATAAAAACAT